CTACGACAACGGCTAACTAGAGCCGAGGTCCGAGTCTCAGAGACGCCCTCTAGTTGAGCCGACCCCCACAAGTTCGAGTGGTCTAGAGGCTCCAGACGAAGAGGAGACTCCCCCCGTGGGGAAATGCCATCCGTCTGGAATATCTCTAGAGGCACTCGCCAATTCTCGGCTTGAGGTCCCCTTAGGATCTCGCCGTCCCCAAACCCGGTGACGCTGGAAAGGTTATCTGCGAACAACAGCATACACACTCAAAAAAAAATCCTTTAAATTTTAATATTCACTATAAAAAGAAGGTAGGTATATGTAATTTATATTTGACGAAATTATTAAGTTCTATTTTACCATCGCCATAAAAGCCGTTACAGTTCTTTATTGGAGTTTACTCCTTAAGAATCGATTTGCACATATAAGGGGCCGATATGAGAAAAATGTGAGGAGTAAAATCTATCGATGAATTACCTCGTTACGTTTTTACTGTCTACGCTGTACCAGCCGTAGCGCTACACCGTAGCACAGTATCATAGCGTACCTTTGTTGCCTACGACGACAAAGAAAGTCGGTGTACATACCACCGCGCCATTCGTTGAACACAAAACCATTGAGCTTTAGAAGTAAACGTCGATATGGCATTTACAGTATCAATCTTTTTTAAGTCAAATAAACTCTTTTTGCGTCTGGTTAGACTATCGAATTTAAGGAGTAAACTCCAGTCGTGCGTCGGAGCTGACACACACAATTTTTTTATACTTAAAATATAAAGTTAAAGTACTTTATTATACCAATACCTTAATTCTGACAGTTAAGCATTCATTCTAAGTTACTTTTTTATGTTAAAAGGTTTGCAAACGAGCATATGCCTCGCCTGAAGTAAGCGGCCACCATACTCTATAGACGCTTACGTTACAAAAAATATCACTCGCGCCGTAGCCTACCCTGACCCAATCCCTTACCCCGTGGATCCCTGAAACCTTACTCACCGATAGAATCACAACTCCATCAAAAGGTAGTGTTATTTTACTGTGGTTTTCTTTAAGATAGACTACATATATATAAATGGTGATTTTCTATAAATTCAACCTCTCGCGACGAAATCTAAATATATAAAACTCAAAGGTGATTAACTGACTGACATAGTGTTCTATCAACGCACAGCCCAAACCACTGGACGGATCGGGCTGAAATTTGGCATGCAGGTAGATGTTATGACGTAGGCATCCGCTAAGAAAGGATTTTGATCAATTCTAACCTCAAGGGGATAAAATAGGGAATGAAAGTTTGTATGAAACTTTGTCAATTTTAAACCGATCGGGCTGAGACTTTGCATGCGGGTATAAGAAGAATCATAGATGAATGTCATTGTGTATAATACAAGCCTGAAAACAAAAACTGTAGTCTACACTTCAGCTCTACACCGAAGCGAAGCGAGGGCGCTAGTGTAGCTTATACTATTCTCCTAGATTTCTTTTACCTCGATAAAATCACTTCTACAGTTAAGACGTGAATTAAAGCTTCACAGATGGAAAGAGAGACTTAAGCTTTTTATAATTTATTAAATAGTGTGGATTAATTTATATTGAGTACATAATATCGCTTATTCTTGAACTGAATTGATTTCCCAAGGCGGGAGTGCGGGCTAAAGGAGGCTTATATGAAATAGCTTTAAGATATTATATTCTTTCAAAGTAGTCCCTTTTCGATTTCGCCGCAACATATAATTTTTCATTTGAATTTCTTGAAGGTATGTAGCTTCTTCTAAGATCGATCTGAGTGGCGTGCATTTGGAGAGGCCTATGTCCAGCAATGGACTAAGATAGGCTGTTGATGATGATGATGATGATGTAGCTTCTAATGTAACTAACTGTATTCATTAATAGATCTTTTGTGATTGCGATTCGAAAAAGCATTAAAGTATATATTAATGCCTTTTTATTGGCTAAACAATATTTCCTACCAAAAATCTTTATCCGCTTTACGCTTGAATTTCGCATGCAGGTCCGAAACAAAAATATAGAAAGCAAAGCCATCAAACTAAGTAGGTATATTGAACGTGGCAGCTGTTCATAAGCCCACAAACCCGGGAAAGTCGATACAGGAAATTGGCACTTTATTTCCTCTATATTCCCAAATATTCTGTCTGTATCTATTTGATGAAAATAACAGTCCTACGAAACCTTAATTTATTTGGCTGAGAAAATATAAGCCACTTAGGGCCATTTGCGCAATCTAGAGTTATCTGAGGAAATGGCGAAAAAACGGTATAATTACATCAAATTAAATTTTACAGGAGCAGTGAAAAACTGAATGACATACCTACAGTGAGCTTTAGGCGTGATTTTTAATTTAGTAATTTTAACACTAATTTAGGCGGTTTTGATTGACATGAGTTGAAATTCAAAATCAGCTGGCCCAAAACCTATGGGCTGTAGAAATAAAGTATTATATGGTCAAACTCTTGGTAAAAACTGAGCTCCCCAACATATAACCTCACTTTTTTAGGCTAACCTGAGTTTAACTAATTAGTTATAATTTTTTTAAAGCATGTAACTTCTCGATGTTTGAATCCACTCTCTGCTGCCTGGTCTGCGTGGATTTTTTTCTAGTAATATTTTCTTCGGATTTAACTAATTAGTTCGTCTTGCAGGGCCAAGAGTTAATATTAAATTGTGTTTAAATACTAACAAACTAACCCGACGAAATCGGTGATTAAATTCTTAACCTCGGGTGCCACAGATAAGTGAGTTTATATCTAAGCTTTGTGCTTTATATTTTTTTGCGCCCGATAAGCTCTGTTTTGCTGAACTTTTGTGAAATTCTTTATTCATTGCTCCTTGAAAATAAGTTATTATTTATGTTTTGAGCCAAAAATAAAATTATTATATCTTCATATTTAAGTGAACTAGATGTTTAAATCTAAAGAAAATCTAACTATAAAAAAAATGTGGATTTTAATACTGGTTTCACCCGCGCCCACTATCCGTGCGGAACGAAGCGGAAGATGCGGTTTTGAATTCCGTATGAAACTTTTTTTTTATTTTTTGATTGGAAAGGGTGTTACGTTCCTCACGCCAAACGGGTGCAGCTAAATAAGGATATCTGCGATTGAGATGATTTTTTTAAGTAATATTATATTTATAATTTTTTTTAAGCATGTAACTGCTTGATGTTTAAATCTAAAGAAAATATAACTAGAAAAATATCCACGCAGACCTGGCAGCAGACGGGACTTGAACCCGCACCCTTCGCTATCCGGGCGAATGCCCGAAATGCGGTAGCATAATTGATCAGTGCATTCGCCCGGATAGCGAACGGTGCGGATTCGAGTCCCGTCTGCTGCATGGTCCGCGTGGAACTTTTTCTAATATTATATTCATAAGATGAAAAAAACCTCTTTTTTAATTTTCCTTTGGTGGTTTAAATAAGGATGACAGTCAGCAAAAGAAATTTGTATTTTGTTACTCAAAAATATGGTTATTGAAGACCTTCTTATTGCCTAGGAAACTAGAAATTGATTTTATATTTTTCACATTTCATTTCCTGAGTATTAGAAACGAAGTGAGACAGATACACAGGTTAAGCCACAGACAGAAACCAAAAATAAAATGAAAAATTAAAAAAATATTAAAGCTCTTGCTGGCGTTTTCATTTTTCAAAAACAAATTGTTGACAGCCCTGATGGCAGCTAAAGCCCCATCCGTGTTGTCCTCCTAATTTACTGACAAATTGCTCCATCATAATAGATTTGACGTAATGTAGCCTCGACTCAAATTAACGTCAGAATCAAGCTCAATATTCTTCTTTTAAATTAAGAAAAACGATACCACATTAAAAAGTTTATAATTAAGTTTAAAAGAAATGAGGTTTCTAGTAAGGTAGGTTACACAACGTATTTTCCGTTCGAGGTAGTGTTGCCGTACTATCGATACTAAAACTTTCGACAGTTTACTTCGAAAATCATGTACCCTATCGATAGACCTATCAATAAAATCGATACAACCGATAGTATCGAAACTATCGATAGCACAGAACAAGGCACTACTATCGAAATGGCATCAAATTTGACTTTCATAAGTGTGCAAATTGTACCTAAATGAATAAAGAAATTTTGACTTTGACTTGACTTTGATTTTGAATGAGTGCAATACTATAGATACTATCGATACTATTGTAGTTCGTTTATAATAAACTATTGATAGTATCGATACTATCGATACTGTTGATTTAATCTGTAACAATACTATCGATAGTATCGATACTAGCGATTGTTTTAGACTATAGTTTGTGATTGACTATAATAACTGAAAATTGTAAACAATACTATTGCAAATTGTTAAACTATCGATAGTATGGTTGCAAATAAAATCGACAGTATCAATACTATCGTAAGCCTATCGATTGTCATAAGATTGGATGGCTATCGATAGACTATCGATTAATCATATAGTCGAGTATTGATCGGCAACATTAGTTCGAGGCGAATAAAATCAAACAGGTTTAAGGTAGTATGTATATTCCGCCTTATAAAAGCCTCAAGGTCAATTTGCAGCAAATTCGCTAAATTTTGATTAAACTAAAACTAGATTATACCCATACGAAAACAAAGAGAATATCTATCTAATTAAGCAAAATAACTGCAAGTGGACCTAACCAAACTACTGATATTAATCTGTATTTTTGTATCTCTACAATACGTAAACACAATTTTTTGGAGTAGGGTATTAGTTGAAGAAAGTTATAATATTTGTATCAAATTAAAAACATCTTTGCTTTTGTAAAATCAAACAAATAATATTTCGCAATCGACAATGATCATCATGACAGGGGCTCGATAAATTAAAGTTGAAAAAAAAAATTGGGTATGAATTGCGATATGTATCAAATATAGGCTCACTGTATTAAAATTGTAGGTATTTGCCTTAAAAGATGTTTGTAATAAAAAATATATGTGCCTAAGCCAAAAGAGGCTTTACAAAGAAAATTAACAAAAATATTTTTGTTCACAGACGGCAAATGCTTAGCCTGCACATACAAAGCGAAGTTCATTGAGGTGTCAGTGGGCATCAACCACAACGTGGACGAACTATTAGTTGGCATACTCAACCAGATCAGACTGAAGAGGCAGCAATACGCAGAGGGAGGGAGGGAATCCTCACCAGCGCACTGGTACAAATCAAGAGGTGTCGTCCGCGCCAGCATGAAAGCGCGCCAAATGTTAACGTGGATATTCGGCAAGGAGGATTCGAAATTCAAAAACTGTGAGAACTTACATGTACTGTGAGTGGAAAGCGACTCGCCGGAACCGGTTTTCGTGTAGAAACTTTGACTTTAAATGACTGTGTTTACTCTGTGGTCAGTGCGCGGATTTAAAAAGAATGGTTGAATAAAGTTAGGCAATGGAATTATAAAATTTGGATAAGCGTTTGGGTTTTATACATAATGGATTTCGTGCCTTTTTTTATTTTTTTTCGGTGAACAATTTTATAAGGCGCTGCGCTAATGTGGACACTTTTGTGTCTTGTGTCGGAAACAATCTACCAATTAATATTTGATTTCTATAGAACCAGTATAAAATAAGCTGCTCCCTGTCTAGACGTAATTTTTTTTTGTGTCCAGTTGCTTCCAGTTAAATACTCGTTGACGATCAAAAGATGTTCAGTGTTGATAACTAGAAACTAAAAGTCGTCAGTTGAAGACACAAGACACACAATTCCCTTACAATTGTACCATTAATTAACACAATCAGCAAACATAATGTTTCTTTATTACTCCCAATGTGAAACTGACGGAAAATAAGGAACGAATTGTACCAGTGACCAACCGGCCTATTCGATGACTTTTTTGACATTTACACTATGTAACTAAAGAGAAAATTGCATATTCATCGATGCTATTCGGAACAAGTATCTTAGTGGCGTTATAATAAAGCAGTAGTGGATCACTAATTAGCTCGGTGATTATCACTACCATCTGTCAAAAGTAGTTAGCGAATAGGCCTACCTAAGTAGCGACAGGTGGCTGCGTCGATCACCGCTATAGCAGTGCTATTCTGTAAGAACAAACTTAGTTTTCACCATTTTATTAGAACACGATTTTCAAATAAATTTGAAATCTACTTCCGTGGTGAAAAATGAGTTTATTGAAATCTGAGTTATATGAGTTTCACAGCAGTTACTTGTGGTGGTGTGCCGTGTCGGCAACAAAAGTGTCCACGTATGCGCAGTGCCTTTATAATAACATACTGGTCGAAATGTTTATTTTTATTAAGACTTATTTTATACTATCTAGTATCGAGAATTCTTTAAAAACGACTTCTCGGAAATTCATAAGGTACTTTTTTGTGAGAGATTAATTAGAGTAGTTTTTACTGTGACTATATTATTAAGGTTTGTGTCATATAAAGCCAAAGATCATGGTATTCGTCAGTGTTATATAATATATCATATTGTGCCAATTTTGAGAGAATTTAACATACGTACTTAATTTGCTAATATAAGGTTAGATTTAAAGTAGCTCGTAAGTGATATACAGTATTTTCGTCAGTACATTATACTTATTATCAATATTGAACGTATCAGCAATAATATTTATGCGTTAAGTATAGCAGTGGTATTGATTTTGACTGATCTTCTTTGTATAACCTATCGTTCAAATCTTAGTCTGACTATTAAGTGTCGCCGCACACGGGCCACACGCCAAAGTCACAAACGCCGCCACGAGAAGTTAGAAGCGGCTACTAAAGTGGCTGAAGCGCGGGACAGCGGCCGAATAAGGAAAAGGAGAGAGGGGTAGGGAATAGCGCGAGTGACGTGTGGCGGCGTATTGTATCGGCGCATTAAGTGGCCGGTGCGGGCCACAAGAAGCGACCAACGACGATTTGTAACGTGTGGCGGCCACCGGCGTACCGTGTGTGGCGAGTCCATATAAAATGTATGAAAACTACAAGAAATATGCCGGTGGCGGCGTTTTGTGGTTGTGGTCGGTGGCCCGTATGCGGCGACACTAAGAGGGGAGGCGCGCTATGTTTTTTCCGTACAAACGTTCTCGACTGATTCTCCGAGCAAAGGTCACAATAATGAGGTGTTCGTTGATCATATTATTATCAGTATAATTATAATTCTCAAAATATTAATAATGATGTAACAAAAATCTAAAAGCTGAAGTACCTTTGACAGCATATTAACCTACGAAAAAAACTGTACCAGAAACTAAATTATTTGTTGGGATACATGAAAGTTCATTCTGTAGCTGTGACATCATCACGAAGATACACACAGACAGACGATGTGGGGTAATTTAATTTATAAAGCAGTAGTATGTGAGTGGCACAAAATCAATATCATTGTTTAACATAATATTTACTACACAAATTAGTAATTAATGAAGTTATATTGGACCACTGTAAAAGATAAATTATTGTTACGAATATTTCAATACCTACACTTTTTAATCGTAATTATGGTATTTTCCCAAAGCCAAATTTTCTATTCCTTATCAATTTATTCAATGGAAGTATTAATCGGCTGCGAGACCTATATGACACTTTTAGGCCCGTATTACAGAAAGATACTCAGTGATTGATCTAGTCTTGGGCATAGTTAGAAAGGGATGTCGCTATATATAGCACATAGCGACATCCCTTTCTAACTGCACTCAAATAAAGATCAAGACTTAGTTGTCATTCTGTAATACGGGCCTTAGATGTCGATCATTTGAACTCAAACTCAACATTAGGAAAACTTTACTAGCATCAATATCAAGATATATTAGGATACCTACTCCCTCAATTGTACCTAGATACGTCTATTTATTATATTCGTTATTAACACACCGTAATATTGTACTCTTTTTCAAACAATATAGAAAAAGAACCTACTACAATATTCAATGAAAAATAACTTAACTTCTGATTAAGTAAATCATAATCAAAACAGATCCAATTTATAACATACCTATCTTTAAATAAAACAAGTTTCAACGGGTTAAGGGCATCTATGTATATAAAACTCAAAGGTGACTGACTGACATAGTGATCTATCAACGCACAGCCCAAACCACTGGACGGATCGGGCTGAAATTTGGCATGCAGGTAGATGTTATGACTGAGGCATCCGCTAAGAAAGGATATTGATCAATTCTACCCCCAAGGGGATAAAATAGGGAATGAAAGTTTGTATGAAACTTTGTCAATTTTAAACCTATCGGGCTGAGACTTTGCATGCAGGTATAAGAAAAAATTGTGTATAATACAAGCCTGAGAACAAAAACTGTGGTCCACACTTCAGCTCTACACCGAAGCGAAGCGAGGGCGGGCCGCTAGTATTTAATATAACAAGAGTCAGCTCGACCAAAATTTCAGTAACGTTCTTTCTCACAGCCCAATAATGCCAATATTTTTTTTAAAAAACGAGGAATTTTTGAACAAACTTAAATTCAGGGCATATATACCAGCGGCTATGGTGGAACCCAAAGGAATACTGCGTTTTGGACTATCGCGGAATTTTGCGCTCTGTCACTTGGCGAACAAAATGCTTTGAATCGTTTTCCACAGTAGTTTTTACTACCCGCCTTCGCGCCAGACGCAGCAATCCGGCCACCGCACAAGAGTAAGACAGAGCGCATTTCATTGATTGAATAATGAATTGAATTGCATTGGTTTTAGTTGCAATTTGTCATCCGCATCGTGATCGCGACAGCGCTATACGAAAAAGTAAGACAGCGATAATTACATGTCTATGAATGAATTTTTACTACGCCGCCGCTACCGCAAGCGATTATGGCACTATGGGTGACAGAGCGGGTCTTTCCGCGAGTGTACCTACAAGCATCATTGAGCAACGAACAGTTAGATGAACTGATTTTATTCATTTATTGACGTTTCGCATCCTTTGCAGGAATGCCTCGTCGGAATAATATTTCGACGTCAATAAACAAATATACTCAGTGCATCTAACCAGTTGAAACTTGTTTTATTTAATGAGTGATGTGCGTGAAAACCTAAGAAACAAATAAACCTATCTTTAATATTCCTATAAGTACTTAATATCAAATGAGCTTTTACTCTTACAAATCATAGAAAGAAGTATTTAGAGTCAAACATGACAACATACTTACTATAATTCTACACGGGGCCACGATTTTCCTTCCAAGTTAATCTTAAAATTTTCCCTTCACGCTATATTTTCTGATGTTGCACTGGTGAAAGTAGGCTTGGCGGCTGTATCAATAATTCGTGTCCGAAAGAAAAAATAAACAAAGAAAATATTACTAGAAAAAATTCCACACAGACAGGTTAACAGACGGGACTTGAACCCGCACCCTTCGCTATCTGGGCGAATCCACTGATCATTATGCTACCGCGGCCCTGATGGCCGTGTCGAATTATTTCTAGCCTTTCTTAAGCTGCAATTGCGGTGAGCGTGGATTTTTTTCTTGTTAACTTTTCTTTAAGATTTAAACATCTAGCAGTTAAATGCTTAAAAAAATTTTAAATTAATAAATTTAAAAAATATGACTCATTTTAATGTCACAGTTTGCGTGCACGTGTTACGTGATCTGAGATGTTACACAGAAATTGGGGTCCTATAAAAGAGATGCAAAGATGCATCCAATAGATCGACAAGGCGAGGGTGGTTATCTAAGCATCAATACGGATTTGCTCGAACTTTTTTTATATATTAAAAAACTTATTGCAGCAGCTTCCACAGTATTAAAGGAGTACTATTATTGCCTCGTTTAGACGACGAGGAGCTCGGTGGCGCAGGTGGTTAGCGCGATCGTTGTAGTTAAGCAACTTTCGCAGTGGTCGGTCATTGGATGGGTGACCAAAAATTTCTATCTCGAGTTCCTCCGTGCTTCGGAAGGCACGTTAAGCCGTTGGTCCCGGTTGCATCTGCAGTCGTTAGCACCCGCCAATCCGCACTGGGTCCGCGTACTGGGTCATGGCCCAAATCTCCCTATTCCATCCATAGGGAAGGCCTGTGCCCCAGCAGTGGGGACATTAAGAGGCTGATGATGATGATGATGATGATGATGAGTATTGCCTCGTTTAGACATGAAATAACCTCCGTTCAACTATCCGCCCACTAAATTAGTAATGCCCTATCATTATCATTTAATTTAGTAATGCCCTATCATTATTACATTAATATAACAAAGGCGAAAGTTTATGAGTTTGTGAGTGTGTTTGTTTGTTACTTCGTCACGTCTAAACAACTGGAGCGATTTCAATAAAATTTGGTGTGGAGTTAGCTGACACCCTGGATTAACACATAGGCTACGTTTTACTGCGGGAAAATATCCCCAATAAACTTCAGGTAACACCGCGGGGCACAGCTAGTGTTTCAATAAGATCGGCAGGATTGTAAGCATGATGCTGGGAATATCTTACATACGAGGCATTTCAATAATATTGCGTTTTTGTAATGAAAAGAGGCGGAAATATACAAAGCATTTCACGTAACCTCAGGCTATACTTTCGATGGACGCAAACAAAGTATTCAGTTATTTTCTAAATCTTTTTTTCAGCTCTGTGAAAATATTACACTGTGGATTTTTCGCGCGTTAAAAACGGTACAGACTTGCACTATAGAAACTTATACAAAATATATACTGAATGAAAAAAATGTTTCATGGAGTCTTAACAGCGCTTCGAAGTTATCCTCAACTTTTTGCGAGCATTCAAACCGCCTGCCTACTCTCAGTAGGAAAAAGATTATTTACTAAAAACGAAAACCATTACGTTTTCAACATAAGAAATGATGTGGTGAAACAACTTAGGTATTTATTCTTGACTGAAGTTTAAAATTTTACGATATTGCTTATAGCTACACAGTCGCAAATGATTTGGTGTAGTAAATCCTTTTTTTTACCTGTACCCTTATCACGAACCAATTATCGAATTCGAATAGTTTGCGAGTGCGAAATGTCAATGTCAAATTTCGTATGGAAACTTGGAGAGCAGCGCCACAAAGTATGTAATGGTACTAAGGGTACAATACCCTTAGCACGAACCAATATCGAATTCGTAACGTTTGCGAGTACGAAATGTCATTGTCAAACGTGTACTGATTTTTAGTTCTCGTTACATACTTTGTGGCGGTGCTGTTCAAGTTTCCATACTAATTTATATATGTCATTTTCGCACTCGCAAACTATTCGAATTCGATATTGTTTCGTGCTAGGGATACAGTACTCCAAGTACAAACTTTGACGGATCCGTATTCGTATAGCCAACGTCAAAGGTTCTATGTAAACAAAGTAGAGCCTCATAGGAACAAACTAACTTTTTCCATATGCCGCAATTACATTTGGTCGGTAACTCGAATTCGGATGCACGAAAGGCATTACTCGAATTCTGGCGCCCGAAGCAATATTTACACTAGAATACGAGCTGGTAGACTCTGTTCAATTACACTTTTACGTGTAGACGTTTACCCGAATTCCATTAGCACTCGTAACAAAAGCCTCTAACTACCAAGTGTGTAATCGCGCCAATAGAAAAGTTTCCATGATACAATTCCAAGTACCTCAAGCACGAATAACTGGCGACTTTCTCGCCAGTTATTCGTGCTTGAGGTACTTAATTCGTTCTTCCTTTCAAAACTCTTCACAGTACCCCTAGCACGAATCAATATCGGATTCGAATAGTTTGCGAGTCCGAAATGCACGAATAACTGGCGAGAAAGTCGCCAGTTATTCGTGCTCGAGGTACTTTATTCGTTCTTCCCGCCAAAACTCTTCACAATACCCCTAGCACGAACCAATATCGAATTCAAATAGTTTGCTAGTCCGAAATGTCTATGTCAAATTTTGGATGGAAACTTGAACAGCAGCGATAGAACGGACGTTACGAGAACTAAAAATCAGTACACATTTGACAATGACATTTTGCACTCGCAAACTATTCGAATTCGATAATGGTTCGTGCTAAGGGTACAGGGGGAAAAAACTTAAAAGTGTATACTTAATTATCATCACGGTCAGACTCCAAAACTAAGTTTAAGTAAAAAATGTATTATATTAAATCTCGCGCATGCACCTATGGATTTGATGACATTGTAGACATACATATACATTATATTGTATCGTATATCTTATAAAGGTAAGTAACTATTAGTGATATTTAATTTAGTTTAAATTTTTATTTAATTTTTTGGTTATGCTGTACCTGTTTTAACAAAATGTACTTAAATCTGTATAAACTTGAGTGTAAGCAAATTTTATTATTCAACATGACAAAAGAGTCAATATGTTAAAATGTAATGTACTTATATTAATTAAAGAACAGTGTTTGTTTTATATTTAAACTAAGATGTATAATTTAGTAGGTATAAATTTTTAAATAATTGTAATGTTTTCGTTGAAAAATACAACATTATATAATACAGCCATTTGGTAGATTTACCTGGAAAGTTTTCCGGGAGATTTGAAAATTGGTAGTTTTATAGATTTTGGGGTGCTCTTTCCGAATTTCGACTTTGCCACCTCGTATTTTTGCCGCTGGCGCCGCCATATTGGAAAAATGACGCCTAAAAGCAGTTTTCTGACAATATCTCCTTTCCGACTCATTTTACGATAAAAACAGTTATATACAAAATGAAACAAGAGACAATTGCCTACAATTTGTTTATCTACCTTTTTTTCATTAAGTCAATAGTTTAAGCGTACGAGCGCCGCAAAGTGTACTCCGACGCGCATTTTGGCCAAAAAAACTCAATTCCACACCACCTTGAGGTAGAGAAAGTGGCGCGTTTTTTTTTAATGTGGTATCCCCAATAGGCAAGAAATGAGTTTTAACAAGCTTTCTGGAGCAAAAAAGTACCTCAAAATTAATAAAATTACCAAATTTCAAAACTCCCGGTAAACTTTTCAGGTAACCACTATATTTGTCACCAAATGACTGTACTAATAACCAAATAGATATTAAATAAATGTTTTGCCTGAAACAGTGTTTTCTGAGACTAAATCACGGAACAATGATCTGAATATGTAAAAAAAAATTTTTTTTTAAAAGGTATTTTCTGGTCATTGTCACGGCTCTTACATAACCTTACCTAGTATGAAGTTTCAACTCTCAGGCGCAATAAGTGCAGCCAAGTTAGTTGATCTGTATTTTAATACACCCTATTTATCAAATTGTTAATTAAACCTTTTGAATTACGATTCGAGTCAGTGCCTTTTATTGTTATGTATGTAACTTATTATAAACCTACGTGTTTCGATTAGTTAAATAAAGTTTAGAAATTTACATTTATAAATTAAATATATAAGGGAAAGATTACTCAAAATATTAAGTTTTATCGAATATCCCATTGTCATATGCACACCTACGTCAAACCAGTGTTAAAAAAAGTTATTGTGTTTTAGTTTTAACAATATTCGTAAATTCCCTAGTCTTAATCTTTCCTCATACAATAACAAATCTCATAAAAGCTGGCAAAATCTAGGTATTACATTGTTAAAATTTTAACCAATTTAAATTATTATATAATAATTATAAAATTTACAATTGTAAGATTTATTTGATATGTAAGATTGATTTGTATTGTAAGATTCTATGCTATAATTATTCTGTTAACATTTAAATTTAAAAAGTAATAAAATATAATTACATCTGTGGGCCAATCGCCTAACCAGATTGCTTTGGAAAACGCTATCGCTTACGATTTCATTTTGTTATTTCTAACCGCCGAAATACCTCACGCTCATTTTCTTTAACATTGTTATTACCAATGCAAAAGAAAAAAAAAAGAGCGCGAGGCATTTGAAAACCTCAGGGGGCTAGAAATAACAAAATGAAATTGTAAGCGATAGCGTTTTCCAAAGCAATCCAGTTAGGCGATTGGCCCCCTGGTTTTGACCAATGTTTGCAATATTATACAGCCATACACGGGTATTTTTTTAAAATTGGATTATGGGTTGACACAAAATAATATCTAGTCAGTTTTTTCTTTATTTGGCAATGGGATATCGCTTTCCTGGTACTGATACAAAAAATGTATCTTTTATAGTTGAACAAAAACCCAATATTTTAATATGATCCTATTTATATTGCCGTTTTTTACTGTGCTATTATTTTACTAGATTTTAAGGTATATGTTATTTCGATGTAATTGTAATGCATTTTATGAGCTTGTATCTCTTTAGTGGCCTATAAGTCAAGCTGTGTGGTATTGATTCGTTTTCATTCAAAAATCTAATTAAACATTATTAAATGGAAATTTCTTAAATACAAACACAAACAATTAGAGCGGAACCGTTCACGTAAAACGGAAGTTAATAATTACATTTATACTTTTTTACCTTTCAAACATCTTCCTATTTCACTTGTAGGTAAAACATATTACTCAATCTACATGTTGAAATTAGTAAAAACTTTTGACGTGACAACGTCTTAAATTAGGTTGCGGCTGGGAGTCACTTATGAAAAAGTGTAACGCTCGGTAACGTTACGATGAGTCTCTCGTGTTAAGTTTAAGTTTACATGTACAATGTTTTAGTAAACAAAATATATTTCTATAGTTAAAATTTGTGCAATTCTTATTTTCATTCAATTCCTTGTTCCTATTGTGCAATTTAATTATATTCATATCAATAAATATTCTACCGAGAAAAAGACGTTGTCACGTAAAATCTTCGCCCGTAAAACCGACTTTACAGGCAACCATTTTTGTCTTTTTTAACAAATTATCAACATGTTCATAGAGTTAAATTAGCTGGAACTGTTTTCAACTGGGGTTTATCATTAACTTAATTAATTTTGATTGAGAAAATTTCATACATTGTAGTAACTAATGTGTGGCTAACTGACATACAATAAGATTATATCTATAAACGGGATTGTTACCATGTACCTTGTTTTTTGTGAGTCTCCGATATTTCGGCACTGTTGCAAGCGCCATGATCACGGATTAACTGAAGTATTTGCGGGTAGATGTTATTGGCAGACATATCGGTCTACCTTCTGACGTCGCTATTACTGCGCTCGATACCCCTACCACTGGTCACATTCTCACTATTCACTCGCACCTGTTCCCGACACACAATACTCACAGTATCAGATCGCTTAACGACACTTTTTTAATTTTTGCGGTTTTTACACATACGAACCACTGGATTCCAGACACTTGGCAATTTAAACCCATCCTCACGATTGAAATCGTTAATAGCTATAATGTTAGTGACCATGAAAAACAATATAAAACAATATATACAATAAAATTCTAAAATCTGTGCAAGCAAGTCTGTTATTAAATAAACGCCGATTCTATGAGTGAAATATCAGCGTGTATTCTTAATAACCTTTAACAAATCAACTAAGTACGTCAATCTCCATTAAAACGACCTACTGATTTTAAGATTAAATCATGACAAACATACCCTTTCGTTCTTTTCGGTACGTATTTAATTCCTTTTATGGCTAAGCACTTCCCAACCCTCGGGTGACGACGCTTTTGTAATGTTAATGAGGGGCACGTTTGTCACTTAAAATGTTAGGATTTTCGCATAATTTGACACCTTTAAAAGTAAGACTGTTCATGTTTGACACACACTTAAATGTTTAAAGAGGCGCGAAAGGACGAGCATAATATTCTATAATTCATTTTAATTATGTCCATCAAAGCACATTTTAATCTTCTTAAAAAGGAGGTGGTACAGTGTCAGTTATCCAAAAGTGACACATTCAACCCAAGCTAAAGCCCACAGCTTCTTTTTTTCACACTTCTTTGCCCAGATTTTTACAGGTGGATTGGAAAAGCTTAGTCTACTCTCCTGCTGTCGTATTTATAAACAAGTCAAAGTCATAATTTTGCATAAGTAATAACTAATACAACATTTTCATTTTATAGATAAGAGCTTGATTAAAATAAGAATTAAAAAAAAATATAACTAGAAAAAAATCCACGCGGACTAAGCAGCAGATGGAACTCGAACCCGCACCCTTCGCTATCCGGAATGTTTTTCTAGTAATATTTTCTTTAGATTTAAACATCAAGCAGTTACATGCTTCAAAAATAATAATTATAAAACATAAGAACTGTCAAAAATGAGAATTCCATAGTAACCATTTTCATTGCTAAGTGACCATTTGTTTTATTAAAGAATACTGGTGTCAAGCAATGACTTGGCTACTTACCAAAAAAGTAATTACTTAGCAACATGTGATTACTTGTTTATAAATACGAGACTTTGATGAAAAGTATTTAAGATTATTCTCGATTTGTAAGGCAAAGGAATCAATATCACGGAGCCATAGGCCTTTAAGATTACTATCAGTACTGTATCATATTGTACCTAGTGTTTACTGTAAATAAAATGATTGACAATAAATTTGATTACTTTATGTGGTTAGAGATTTTCCATGAAACACCCTAAAATAATCATGAGCCTGAGTCCTGTTAATATTCATATTACGATTCTGAGAATAGGTCGAATTTGAACGCCCGGTCTGGGTTAGTAAATTCCACCTAAGAGAATCATCATCATCAGCCTATTAATTTCCCCACTGCTGGGGCACAGGCCTTCCCGATGGATGGAATAGGGAGATTGGGCCATGACCCACCACTCGGGCCCAGTGCGGATTGGTGGGTGCTAACGACTGCGGATGCAGCCGGGACCAACGGCTTAACGTGCCTTCCGAAGCACGGAGGAGCTCGAGATCGTAAACTTTTGGTCACCCATCCAATGACCGACCACTGCGAAAGTTGCTTAACTTCAACGATCGCAGCCTAACGCGCTAACCACTTGCGCCATCGAGCTCACCTTACCTTAGAGAATATTACAGTACAATTAACCTTATGGTGTTGTTGTATTTCTGTCAGTGAGTAAGTTTTCAGGGCTCCACGGGTAAATGCGCGGGTCATCCTGCGCACGTCTGCGGGGTCCCCGCAATACCACGGCAGACCCCTGCCGTGGAGCCCCGGCGAGGCCGGGAAGCTGCTGGGTGCGGAGCCGTGGTAGAATCCCTAACGGGGACCCCGCGGCTTCGCATTAAGCAGTGTAGAGGGTATTCGCAGGATTTTTTTAGCGGATAGCGCTGTAAAGCGCCCTAAGAGTTGCGGGGTCTTCGGTGCGCAGCCGCTGAGGTGTCCGTAATACTTGCGGGAGCCAGGAGCTCTACTCTCTTTCTCCGAAACGAAATTTCGGTAACGAACGAATTTCAAACGAAATTTCGCCAGCGTCTCTACTCTATTTCATTTTCGAACAGGCACATTAACTTCGGAACCATAAACAGTTTTCGTGAACGAATGGAATGAGTCATGTTTGTGAGTTCTTTTTATCTCTACTTTTAAGAAAACGTGTTTTTACTTGGAAACAATATAGGTAGTTTACGGCAAATTTTTAGATGACATTGAAAGAACCTTCTTTGACAGTGTTAGCCGACTAATTTGTAGAGTCGATACAACCTACTGTATCTCAACCTCAATTTGTCGTTTAATACTTTGAAGTATCGAAATTACAAAAAATAATAAAAAAATGGTTTATTTGTTAATTTTACATGCTAAAAAAGTTTCTCGAGCTAAGCAGCTATTATTAAAAATACTCTTGCAAGTATTTTAGGCTTAATTAAAACAAAAATCTCAAAACGAAAATGAAAAGGTAACACTTTTCATTTCGTCGATTTGAGTTCAAAATTTCGAACAATTATCTGTCAAATTCAACTTTTCCTTCGAAAGTTTTGTGAATTAGAGTAGGCTTGGAGAATTTAATTGTCAAAATATTTCGGACGAACGAATTTTCGAAATGAAAAGGAAACAGAGTAGGGAACGTGCGAAATTTCGATCGAAATTTCGTTTTTCGTTGAAATAGAGTAGGCCTCCAGGTGTGAGGTCCGTTCGGCGGTGTGCCTCTTAAAGGCGCAGGCGTCTGTAAAAAGATTTTTTAGGGGCGTTATAAAAAAAGGCGCCCACGGGTAAGGAGGTTGGGTCAGCGTAGGCAACTGTGGGGGTGATATTTATAGTATCGCAAGCACGGAAAGAGGTTAGAAAGGTGATCAAAGACCGTTTGTACAGGAAACGCTGTCGCCGACTCGCCCCCAAGACACTTCCACCTAATAGATAATAGGCCAATCCGGGTTTCGCCAGTCTGTGAAGCCTGACCGGCCTTTGAACACAACCTTTTTCCTATGTACTTGTCGTACGTTCGTACGTGTCGTACTTTCCATCACATCAGTTATCAGCCTCTTCAAAAATGGTAGGATTTCATTTTTTTGAGTTGCAGTTTTACCTTTCTTGTATTTTTTTTTTAAATGTATCCAATTTCTTCAGTACATTCATCTTGACAGTAATAAAAACAAATGAAAATTAGACATTTTTCTAATTTGAATTTGGAAAAACGAGCCAGATACAAATGGTATAGCCAAAGAGATTTTATTATAAGCTCATACATACTATAGAGCGAAAAGACTTTTTCCCCAACCTTATACATTACAAACTAACGTTACATGTGTTTTAGGTACATTACACCAAAATGTTACTATGTAATCTCCATCTTTAAAAATATTTCATATTAAAAATTTAAACAAATTAGCAGTTAAATGCTTAAAAATTCAAATATTTTAAACTGATGTCTGTCCCAATAATTTCGATATATCTCTACAG